TGTTTATATGTATTTATACACTTAACGTTTTCCTACCACCTCCTGCATGTAAATGTTTCTGCCCTTTGCCCTCGCATTAAAATTTAGGCTGAGATGGATTATTGAATGCAATCTCTTCTGCCTCAGAGACAGTATTTTAAGGTCTTTTTGGTTAGTGGCAGAGGGCCTCAGTAGTACCAAGAGAGAGGGCAAACAATTTGACTTTCTAGTTGTTTTCTGTGACACAGTTACTCATCTAGCTCCCAAGGACTCAAGTCGTAGAGTTGAATAAGTGTTCTGATCCCTCACCTCATAGAAAATTAGGAATGATCATCAATGATGGCTTTATCATTGAAAGCAATTCCAAAGCTATTGTAGTTGGTTGTCAGTACTGTCTCATGTCAGTGGATATTTGTTAATTTAGTGATAAAGAAAAATTACTTACTATACATTTGTAGAGGCTTAGTGAAGTGTAAAGGCCGTTCGGAAGTATGTGTAAAGTGAAGTGTAAAGCACTGTGCTGTACTGCCTGAAATGGCCAAAGAAGACTAGACCTACAAGTTTGCCATGAGCCGTGATGAACATGTATTTGTTTAATTTTATACTAAATAGGGTTAAAATTTAGTTCTTTGGCTGTACTGATCACATACTAAGTACACAATAGCCATGTGGCCTACTGGTTGGACAGCACAGACAATAGAATATTTTCATCATTGCAGGAGACCCTGCTGGGCAGTGCTAGCTAGAGGACTGTTTCCTCCACCCCCTTTACAAAAGTTTGTAGTATTTACCTTTTGTTACTTAAAAAGAACACTTTGGAAATGCCAGTAGTACTTTGGAATTCCATTTTATGTCACATTTTATTGAAATGATTAAAAATACCTGAAGCATTATGTCTCAAATTACTATGAGAGAATCATTAGAATTGTAGAAAATCTTTATGCTATATGAATGAAATAAGAGGTTTATTAAGCTAATTTCAAATTATAGGAGAGAAAAAAAATTCATGTGTGTATGTACGTGCATATGTATGTATTTATACGTGTATGTAAATTACATCAGGATGGGAATTAGAATTGAGAAATCAAAGCATTCTAGACTAATAATAGCAGTTAAATATTAATTTGTATACTTTTTCTTATGAAATTTAAGCATACATGAACTACTAATAATTAAAGCAAACGAGATAGCTAACAAAACACAACAAAATTAGTTCTTAGACTCTGGAAATATGGTGGTTACCAGAAGGGACAGGAATTGGGGAGCATAGGCTAGAGCAGCTCAGTTTGTTGGTGTGAATGGCACTCAGACTTGGGTGGTTTGAAGTAACCTGCAGGGCGTGTGCTGAAGTGGGAAGCTATACCTTGGAAGCTTGGAAATTGTTTTTAAATCAATGGTAAATCAAATACATTTTATTTTTAAAAAACATTAATCATAAAGGAGAAATAATTATACAGTATATGCCCATTTATACCCTAATTTAAATAGTTTAACTTTGTTTCAAGTATAAGTTTCAGACATCATGTTTTGCCCCTAAATACTTGAATATACATTTCCCAAAATAGGAAATTTTCTCTATAACTAGCATACCATTATCTCTAGCAAAATTAATTGGAATATAGGCTGTAGCAGAAGATGGGACACTTATATAATAATGTATTTAGATCTGTCCAGCTGTCCACAGAATGTCTTGTTTTATAGTTTATTACCCCAAGGACTTCATAATTTAGTTCTTGACATTATTCTTTGAGTACCTGGTAATGTTCTAGACTTAAGATGGAAAACTAAGGTCATTTGTCTTTGAGAATATGTCTGTACATGTGATCAAGGTAAAATGAAAAGATTTGATAACCGGGCACGGAAGGAAGAACTCAAAGTAAGTTATTTGAGGAAAAGCTCTGAATATGCTGTTTGGATACTTAAGTGAGAAAATCCTGAAGATAATTGACAGGTGGAAATTATTGGGAGATGGAGAAAAAATTAGTCTTTTTCTATAAATTTGTTTGAAAGTAAAAGGATCAATGATGGCTCACCAGAGGGGAACCAGAGTTTAAGAAAGGAACAGGACTTGTAGAAAAGATGAAGAGAGAACTTTCAGAGTAGAAGGAGGTAAACACGATTGCGCGAGGGGAAGACAGCAACCTAATATGGGAGAGGACTAAAAATTGGTGGTGAGATTAGAAAAGAGGTCTTGGTCCCTGACATAGTAATTTCAGCATGAGTATTATGAAGTGGGGGTATGGGATGGGGATAAACAAGTAGAGAATGCAGTTTTAGGAAATGGGTGTGTGCTTTTTAAGGACAGGAACATAATTGTGCATTGAGGGTTACTTATTGGCATGGGTGACTCCAGGAGTCTTGTTTAGATGGTTCTTTCACCTGAGCTTGACGGTTGCTCGCAAATATGGCAGCAGTTGGTACATAAAGGGGAAAAGTGAGCATTAGCCCTTTGTGCCGTAATAAAGACAGAGAGAGAATGGACCAGCCAGATGGTGTGGGTCCTGAAAGCCAATCTCTCCTGTTTGGCTGAGTTGGCAGGGCAGTAGAAGAGCCTGGAGAGGACTCTTTAATAGGGATATAAACAAAGAAGGGAGAAGCAGCCCTGAGGATTCAGTGAAGGCTGCAAGACAAGGTTGCGTTTGATCTAGATTTTAAAACACACATACGAATGTGTTAAATGGAGAAGTAAAACAATGATATTCCAGGCAGAAAAAATAATGGTACAAGAGCACTTGTTTAGCAAAAAGTGGCAGCTGTTAAGAAAACCAGATGAAAAGTGTCACTGAGAAAATGTAGCTGACCACTCTGCTCAGTATCCTTTGAGTAACCTTTAGTAATTCTGTCACAGGTCCTGTGTGTATATTCTATTATGTCAGTTTCTCTCCTGTATAGTACCACAACAGCCCCTGTACTTGAGGTCTGCTGGAATGAAGTCAGAGCCATGTCTTACTCATCTTAACTAGTAGAGTACCTGGAATTTAGGTGTGACCATATTTGTTGAATATGATTTATCAAGGTAAAGGTCAGTGTCTTCTCCCTTAAGCACATGTAAGTTTTTCTGGTAATTTTACTACTAAATATCTGTGCGTCCTTCTTGTCAGTGAAGAAGTAGTCTGTTTTTAAGGTAATTGGATTGATTTGGGGCTACTTTTGGTATATATAGAGGTAATGAATACATAACTAGATAAGTCTTAAGATAATGTGAGCAAGTGCTTCAAAAAGACTCAACATTTTTGTGTAGCTGACATTTATTGAGTGCCTGCTGCGTTCTATACTTTTAGAAATACATGATTTACTTCTCGAAACAACTGGATGAAGTTGATGTCCTTACAAATCAGAATTACTGGAAATGATTTTACTTGAAAAATATTTCTATGGCTATATGACACATTTACCTGATTTCATGTTCGCTACTCCTTTTCTTTTGAAATCTGAATTTCAATGAAAATAAAGGTTTTACTATTTTATAGCACGTAATGCTCTGCCTAAAGCTTATCTGTACGTTGTTTAACTTCATACTAACAGTCAGAATTCTCTTGTTCTTATAAATACTATTTATTTCAAAAGGGTATTCATCTACTTGAATTTTAAACAACTGTATCTGTTAACTGGAAGTTAAGCAGACACAGAAAGCAACAACTGTTTTTGTTTTGTTTTGTTTTGTTTTGTTTTGTTTTTTTAAATAAAATCCAGGTAGTCCTTTGTTTGCCTCAGAATTTGTAAGAAATCAGTTTAAAATGCTCCTTAGGAGATAACTGGAATATGTGAGGGCATGTTAGTACTGTCCCATGCATACTAAACAGATGACAACACACTAAGGCTGTGTCTCTTTTACTTTGTATTGTTTGATTTTAGTTATAAAATTGTTTATCATATTCGCAATTTTAGATAATATGGTATCTTTTGCCCTGTGGACTTTGTCCACCAAAGCAAATACGGTTTTTGTACAAATACAATGCAGTATAATTGGTACAATATAATGTAGTATCTTGTATATACTATATTAATAATTAATGATATAGCACTTTATATAGCATGATATAGTTGGTTGTATTGTTACAACCTAACAGTAGAGAATTGCAAGTTGATAAATACATATATTAAGATTTAGAGTTTCTTTTTAAAATATTAATTCTTTAATACAGAAAACATTTCTGTCAAACTTCAACTGTTTGAAAAGGTTACCCAGAGAACTCTCATTCATGTACCCCTCACCCTACTCCCTCCTACCCCTTAATAAATAATAATTATTAATATTTTACATTTAGCTTAGGGTGGGGGGTTATATTTGCAACAAAGAAACCTGTTTATATTTCTCTGTATTCTTACATGTGTTTTTTTATTCCTTCCTTACACCAGATGTTTTTATATTTTACCTTTTTCTCAAATTTAATCTTCAAGATCAATTTGTAGAAGTGGGACTACTGGGGGAATATATATGCATTTTGGTTGATTAGTGCCAGGTTTCCAACTATAGAGGCAAAGGTTGTATGTACCATGTGACATTCCTACTGGCGAGGTATCAGTGTCTCTCCGGCTTTGCCAATAGTGGGCTGTCAAGCTTCTGAACTTGTGTCTGATTCTATTAAATAAAAAGTGGTATCTCAGCCGTCTTGATTGCACTGTTCTTATTATGAATAATACATTTGACCCATTTTTTCTTCTTTGTAATTCAGTTGGTCAGTCTTTTTTGCCTCTAAATTTTGAGTAACAGTTAAGACAGACAGTTCTATATAGAAGTTGTATAGGAGCACCTCTAGTTTTCCTTTTAAAAAATGTTTTTTTGGTATCACATTCATGTGTGAAGCTGACATGTGAAAAGTTGTTAATAACCAAATTAATTATTTAAATTGTTTTTCTTTGGGAGGAAGTATATGTGGTTAATTTTATCCCCTATAAAAGATTATGAAATGAAATAATGTGTATGAAATGCATTGTTTAATATCTGGTACACAGCAAATGCTCAGTAACTATTCATCATAATCTTAACTTGCTCATGTAACTTTTGTGTATCTTTTCAGAGAGCTATTGCTTACCTTTTTCCAAGTGGTTTGTTTGAGAAGCGAGCCAGGCCAGTAATGAAGGTACTTATCTTAATAATTTTGAAAATTCCACTTAGGTTTATATGTTGTAGTCATTACCTAATGCATTTTTAATTTCTTTTCTAGCATCCTGAAGAGATTTTTCCAAAACAAAGAGGTAGGTTTGCTCAAGAATGAAATGAGCAGTTCTTTCTTACCTACAAAATTATGTATCAAAAATTATATCAGCTGTAGCTCACATATTATATAGATGTACTTCTGTGTCATGGTGGTCATGAAATAAACAGAAAATATTTTATAAGTACTAGTGAATGACTGGAGTTTATACACTTTCTTTTTAATTAAGAAATATTTAAAATTAGATCAGCTTAGACATTTTTTCATTCTAATGCCTTTTTGGAAAAGAGATTGGTATAGATCTGCTTGAGACTTTTACTTACATGAAAATTTTTCATTTTTAGTGTGGAAACATTTTGAATATACACATTTTCATCCCCCTTTTTGATCTTTCAGCACTTAAGTGGTATGATTGACTTACATCTCTTTCTTAAATCTATGTAACTATACTAATTACATTTTTCTTATATATTTGCCCATTTGAGACTGGTTTTTTTTTTCCAAATTAATTTCCAACCATTTTCTGTATATTAGAAGTTTGTAATTACCATCAGCTAGAATTCAGCAACTGGAACTACTGTTCATCCCTGAAACTGCCAGTGTGTTATTTTGGGAATATGTCAGTGTTGGTAGGACTTCCTGACATTTCAGTTAATTATATTTAACTATATATATATGTAGTATTCCTTTAGAATTAGCAAAATAATTTTTGCCACATGCCCATCAATCTTGCTGTAATATATAAATTTGCATGACTTATTTTTTAATGTAAAAAATTTAGTTTTGAGTAGATTATGACAACTGTAATGTACTCCTGCTTCTCCTACTATCAGATAAAAGATTCCAGATTGAGTTAACATAAAAATTCTGCTCTATAGTTAAAAGAAGTGATAAAAAATATTGGCAAAAACAAAGGTATATACTCAATGAATAACAGAAACAAGGAGTAGTATCTGATACTAGACAAAATGAAATTCAGGTTGCTCAGGGCATAGTTCCATGAGACAGGAGTGGTCAATTGTATTGATGAAACCTTGATATGACGACCATGAAACATTTAGCATTGAAATGTTGAAAGCAAAAACTGTTAACTAAGGTCCTAAAGAATTTAAATAACAACATGATTTTATAACTACACCTAAAAGTTAAGTACATTCTCTATGTGGATGCCAGTGAATGTTAATAGAACTGTGTTGTATAGGTCATGGAGAAAACATATTCTTAAAAAAGTAGGAATTAATACATTGGGTGTTCTGACAAAATCAATAGAACCATAACATTATTAGACTAAATAGGAAATCAAAATTGAGATTTACAGTCTATTTGGAAATATTAGAACAGTTTGTATCAAACTGTGAGGTAGGGAAAGTGTGTTTTGCAGATAAACATATTTATTTAAACACTAAGAAAGACTAGAAAATTAATAAAACAGTTCAGTAACACAGAAAAACAAAAAATTGATAAAGGCAGTGAAAACATTAAAAGAAGGGGTAGGATAAATAAAACCAATGATTAAAAAAAAAAAGAACTTGGGGAACTTGTTTGACAATTCATAATATTGACAATCAGGAGAATGAATACTAAAAGTGGGAGAAATAAAAGGTCATCAAAATGCTGACCATAGCTCCCCTCCCCAGTAAGTTGTGTCAGTGAGGTATATCATATCTTGAAAAAGCTTCTAACTTTTATACTATGCAAACTGTTGCAGAGCAGAAAAAATAATGAAGCCTTCCAAGTTAACTTTAATGCCTCATCATTTTCAAATTTGCACATGAATTGCATAAAAAAGAAACCCTTGGTCTCTTCTTGCCAAGTAAAATGATAGCAAATCAAGTAAAATACTGAGAACCACAGAGTATCTTTTTCCCCAATGGAATACAAGGATAGTTTAACATTAGCAATTTTTTTAGTATAATTCTCTGTTAATTGAGGGTTAAGATAAGTGAAGGCTATCTTATAAGTACACATCAGTTTTACTTTCATTTACTAATTTTATTAATTGCCCTAAGTAATGAGAGATTTTTTTTTAAACTATGATCTCCTTTGTCACCTTGTTCTTTAACTTCTCTATTTCAACTTCAGAACTGTCAAGATATTTATTGATACCTACTTTGACTATTAAGTGAAAGTGTTACGTGTTGTCCAATTGTCTGCTGTATAAATGTGCAGTATTTCTTTTTATTGTTCTGACTTATACTACTATATATAATTTTCTTAAACTGCATTTTGTTGAAAATTGTTACATTGTATCCTTTCTTGTGGCTATACAGTCCTCTGTGGTGTGGGTATACCTCATCATCTTGATCTGGTCATCCATCAGTGGGCAGTTAGGCTTCTTCCATGCCCTAACCACTATAAATAATACTGCTAGGAACATTGTGGAACACGGGTTTTAGTATTGATGGCTTAATAGTCTGTGGTTGCCTGCCCAAAAGGGGGACTGTTGATCGTACCACATTTAATTTTTTAAGATCAATACAGATTACTTTCCATAGTGGTTATACTAGTTCACATTCTTACAAACAGTGTAATAGGGTTCCATTTTCTTTGCATCCTCTCCAGCACTTGTTGAAAATGTTCTTAATAGCATAATATTATGCACTAAGTCACAAAGACAGCAAGGACAAAATTGATAAATTATCTATTTTGAAATTTAAAACTTCCCTTTGGAAAAAAATTATAAATTCAAATTAACAAGCTACAGACTGGAGAAAAATTGAAGCATGACAGAGATCTGATCTCTGGAATAAATTATTCTTAAAATTAACAAGGAAAACAGCCTTGTAGAAAAATGGCCAAAGGGAAAAAGAGGCAATTCATAAATGAAGTAAATAAAAGTGGCCAGTAAATATAGGAAATATCAGATCAGAATTAGGGCTCTGTAAAACAATGACATCATTATCAGTAGTTAGATTAGAAATGGTAAATATTATGTGTCAGCAAAATATTTGGAGCAGTCTGTTTAACTAACAAAGTGGCAGTGGAATAATACACAGAAGCTAGAGTGAAATAGCTGAGTTGTATTGCCCACATTGTTAGGTGGGCAAAATAAGTCAAAATAATGTAGTATTGCCTTAGTCCATTTCAGTTAGAGTAGCCTGCGTGGCTTACAGTTCTGGTGGCTAGAGGTCCATGATCAAGGTGCCTGCTAAGAGCCTGCTTCCTGGAACATAGACAGTTGTCTTGACATATTTACATGGTGGAAGGCATCTGCGATCTCTCTGGGGTATCTTTCGTCAAGGCACTGATCCCCCTTCATGAGAGCTCTGCCCTTATGACCTACTCATACCCATGTACCATTACATTGGAGATTAGTTTCCAAATGAATTAGAAAGTGAGGGGAGACACAAACATGGTCTATAGCAAGTATGTGGTTTAAATATAGCTTAGTACCATTTTTTAGTATGTGCATATGTTTATTCACTTGATTTATTGGAGTAGCATTGTATTATAACATAAGCTTCAGTGTCCATCACTGCAAATCAGGGTCTGTATATGCTACATTAAGTTCATGGCTAAAAGTCCAATTTTATCCTTTACTATAACATAGCCTCCCTTTTCCCAATTTAAATGCCCTACTCCCCCTTAGTTTCTTGTAACCACAAATTGGAAACATGCAAACAATCCTGTATATTCAGTGTATACAAACACGTGTGTGGGTGTATGCAGTTGCATAAAAAAATCCAGAACAAATTCTGACTGCCTCTGGTGAAGCAGTTCTAATATTTAATATTTATAAAAAGAGTGAGCAGAAGCATTGCTTGGATATATAGCATTGAGTGTATAAAAGTAGAAAAGAAACAAGATTAAAATCTATCATCTAAGCTTTCATTATAGGAAACTAGAAAAGAGAACCAAACCAAAAGAAGCACTAGAAAAGAAATAATAAAAATTAGAGCAGAAATCAGTGGGGTTGAAAACAGGAAATCAGTGGAGAAAATCATCAAAACCAAAAGCTGATTCTTACAGGAGATCAACAAATTTGATAAGTCTCTAGCCAAGCTAACTTAAAAAAAGGAGAGAACACAAATTACTAATACCAGAAATGAAAGAGGGGCACTGCTACAGAGCTCATGGACATTCAGAAAGGGTAATAAGCAGTACTCTGCATGCTTGGTGCCTCGAATTTGATAACAGACAAAAAAAAAAGATTCCTTGGAAGGTACAATCGGCCAAAACTTACACAAGAAGTGATCAACAATTTCAATAAGCCCGTTGAGTAAACTATTAATAACCTAATAAATCCTAGTTTTGGTTGTGGCTTTTTAGCAGTAATATGAAAGAATTGACTATTAGGATTTGATTAAAATTAAAAGCTTTTGCTGTCAAGAAAATGAAAACACAAGCCCCAGAACAGAGAAAATATTTGGGGAAGCCTTATCTAATAACGGACTGAATTCAAAATATGAAAAGAACTATTAAAACTTAACAAGAAGAAAAGACCTAATTTAAAATCACCCAAGCTTAACAGACATCTCACCAAAGACATACAGATGGCAAATAGGCATATGAAAAGATTCTGTACCTCAGGGAAATGCAAATTAAAACAATGGTAAGGTATCATTAACTCATATTAGAATGGCCACAAGACAGGGTACTTACACCATATTCTGGCTAGGCTATCAAGCAACAGGAGTCTTCATTCACTGTTGGTAGGAATGCAAAATGGGACAGCCCCTATGAGAGACAGTTTGGAAGTATCTTACAAAACTAAATATATCCTAACCATTTACCCCTTACCCAAAGGAGTTGAAAACGTATGTCCACACAAAATCCTGCACACAGATGTTCATAGCAGTTTCTTTCATAATTATCACACCAAATGCCCTTCAGTTGATAAGTGGATAATTAAGCTGTGGTATATTCAGGCAATGGAATGTTATTTAATATTAAAAATAAATGTACTAACAAACTGAGAAAACATAGAGGAACAGTAAGTGCATATTACTAAGTGAAAGAAACTAATCTGAAACCATGTAATTCCAATATACATGTCATTCTAGGAAAGGCAGAACTATAGTGAAAGTAAAAGGATCAGTCATCTCCTGGAATTTGTGGGAGGCTAAGAAGACGGGATAACTAAGCACAGGATTTTTAGGGTAGTAAAACTGCTCTATGGCATTGTAATGATCGGTATTTATCATAATAAATTTGTCTACACCCATAGAATGTACAATGCCAAGAATGAACCCTAATGTGAGCCACAGACGCTGGGTGAGGGTGATGGGCAGTGTGTTCATCGGGTGTAACAGATGTTCCATCTTAGAGTGATGCTGATAATGGAAGTGGCTATGAATGGAGGGGCAGGCAAGAAATGGGAAGTCTCTGTGCCTTCCTCCCAGTTTTGCTGTGCACCTAAAAAAATCTGTCTAATTAAAGGTAATTACTTACATAATTAAAATTTATAGAAAGTGTTGATAACTGAGGAAGTGTCAAAAACAGCAAACCAAAATATAAAGTTTACAAAACTATGTAAGATTTATATCTGAAAATTATAAATTTAGATCATAAGTGAGAATCTGAATAGTTGGAAAAAAGATTTTCAAGATTCTGTAAGGAAATGTAATAATGCAGAGTTGCTACTTTAAAAATTATTAATCTAATGTAATTTCAGTCAAGTCCTATTAAACTTTTGGGATAATTTGTAAAGTTTATTTGAGAATGTAAATGTGCAGAAGTAGTGAAAGTTTTTTTTTAAGAATTATAAAGGGAATTTACCCTGCTAGGTATTAAAATGCAGCAAAGAACTGATTTAATTAATTGGTGGTAATAGCGCAGAGTGGGCAGAACCAGTGGCCAGAATAGAGCACTCAGCATCAGCATGTTAGTTGGTACCATATTTTGTCAACTCTAAAACAGTTTTTCAGATTTTAATATCTTTGACAACAGAATTTATTTTATAATTAATGTGGAAACTGTAATACTACTATCAGCTTGTTTTCTTTGTGATTTATGTAATGAGACCTTATAAAATGTGATATTGTAGATTGAATGGAATTAGTATCTATGGACACCTACATAAATAATCTATTTCGTTCACTATGCAGTGAGACCCACCAAAAAGTCCTCCAAGGATTTACAGTGGAGTCATATTGACAGTCATGGTATTTGTCTTTCTGAGTCACTTTCTGAGTGAAAATAGACTGCATAATGAAGTTGTAAATACTGAGACATACACAGGTCTTCATAAAATCTATGAAAATGTTGTTGGAGGATATTTGACTTATTAATAAGCCAATGACAAATCTGGTTGTTTTTCAAGCAAATTCCTAATCAAGACTTTATTTACCATTTATCATGAAATTTTGTTCTTCCTTTTTTTTTATTTACTTGTACACACAGAACTGGGGTAAAGGCCAGAGGCTCAGGAGTGGCGAGAGGCTTCACTAGAGACAGAGTGGGGAACAGAACAGGCAGATCGATGAAGTACACTGCTGAGGGGAGCAGCGGGCAGGTCAGGAGAGGTCTGCCGAGCCATGTGGTCACCTCCGGGACAGGCGGGAATAGAACTCATGCGGAAGTGGCTTTAGCTTCTCAGTGCAGTGCTTTAACCCGTTGCGCCACCAGGGAGGGCCTTGTTCTTCCTTTTAATTGTATTTATTAAAATGCTCTAAATAGAATGCTAAGTACCCTCAGAAGAGAAAGAAAAACTACATATTGTTCAGGTGGTATTTCAACAGAAAAGGATAGACTATTCAAACTACTAGCAGGATGGTGATTGTATTGAACAAAACAATATTTGAATTTTGCTTTATGAACGTAAATGTCAGGTAGATTAAATTTCTAAGCTTGAGACCAAAAATTCCAGAGGAAGTGATAAAAAATAGTTCATGCAAAGTCCAAAATATGGTTTCTCACTGAAAGTGGTGTTGCCACTAAGGTGTTATAAATTGGTTCAGAGGTGGGAAAAGAAATCTTATCCATTAAAAATGTCTGTGGCCCTCCAAAGGGCCTAGATATACATTAATAGTGATGTAGTATATTAAGGTAATAAAATTTTGTAGGGAGGTAGGCAATTAGTGAAAAATACCTTAAAGATTCCTTAATAAGAATGATAATGAAAAAAGGCTTAAGGAACAATGCCATTGAGGAAAAGGAACAATTTCTGCTGTATTTTCAACTTGATCATGAAAGACATCATAAAATTAAAATACAAGTGGCAGATCAGAAGAGAAACATTTACAGTTTAATGTAACAAAGGATATTATCCGTTTCTATAGATTGTTAACAGAAACAACTTACTAGAAGTATAGGAAAGGACATGGCATTGGTGTGTAGTTTATTTACTTGTGGAGACTCCTGTTTATTTTGTGTTTGTTAGATGTGAATGTGTTTGTTAGATGTGAGGATTACAAAAAACATTTGGCAGGGGGAGGTGTCCCTGCTGTTTTAGACATTTGTCAGAGGTGTGTCATCACAGGGTTGAAATAATATGACATGGAAAAATACAGTTAGTCTTTTTATTATAGTGTGACCTTCTAAATTACTAAGCATGCTATCACTGACTTTTTAAGTTTCATTCTTAAGAATATAGGAGTATATTGTATTTATAGCCAAATTTAGCTTTTTTGTTTGTTTAAGCAAGATAATTTTGGCTACTTTATGTGTTTATTTAGAACAAAGTACAGTAATTCTTATGATAAAATAATCAGTAATATTTTATCAAATACAAATATTTTATGTTAATATACATGAAATATCAAATATCTACAAGTTAAAGTTAGTGAATAATAACATTCTAAATGTTCATGCTTTTTTTTACTTTGGCATTGTTTATAACTGCAGTTAAATATAGCTGTTTGTCTCTTTGCTTATGTTTATTTTTCTTTTCATCTGACTTTTAATTAGCAATCCAGTGGGGAGAAGATGGCCGTCCATTTCATTTTCTCTTTTATACTGGCAAACAGTCGTATTACTCACTAATGCATGTAAGTACATTACCTTCATGACAAATAATATGAACTGTAAGCTTCAGTAATTAATTATATTAGAGATTTTTCTAAGATTTAGAAGTTATTTAATATGTTCCATAATGTTTAAAGTAAGAGTTATAGAGGTAAGAAAGCCTGTCAAAGGCTTTATATTTTATCAATTATTTTTCTAAAGGTAAAACAGAATTCATGTCACAGTGATTTGCCCTTAAAATTGAAATCATTTGAAGGGATAAATGTTCACCTCAATAAGAGTGTATGTTGGGTGCTTCTAGAAAAGACAGACCAGGATAGAGGCACTCACTACTTACTATATGAAACTGTCAGGGAGCTTTGGGAGAGAGCCAAGTAGTTATCTTACATTTGGTTATTTGTATATAATTTTGCATTTCACAGGCTAATGCAATGTATGAGGCTAGAATATGGGTTACCAAAAAAAAAAAAAAAAAAGACCTCCACTTGCAATACAGTGTGCTGGGAACAGTTTTTATTTGGTTTCAGAATTGTAGGCATTTAATAGCTTACAAATTTGAGAGCTCCTTGGTGTTACTGGGGGTGGGAGGGAGGGCTAGAAACCTTTTTATTAATAGAACATGTCACATTTATTTTATTCATTATATGATTTTTAAAAGTTACAGAAATATCCATTGGGCTTTGCCCAGTTGCGTTTAGATTTCAGGGTTGAATCCTATGTACACATTAGTCTGCTTTTTAGAACTATCTGGTGTTTGTGTTCCACAAACCCACAGGACAAAAATCCCCACTTGTCAGGTACATTTATTTCTTGGGGAAGAAAAGAAAACCTTCTTTTCGCTTTTTGTTGACCTTGGGCAAATGAGCTTCTTGCCCTGGTAGAAATGAAATGAATGATAAATGTAGAGTATGTCTTTGCTGAGTAATGGAGCTGCGGCTCTGGCTTTCCACTGAGGTTCTCTCTGCACAGCCTGAGGCTGCCCGAGGACCCCTGCTGTTCATTTAAATAGGTATGTCAAATCTGCCTCCAAACGCTGCTGGTTTGATCTGTGGTAATATTTGTGAAGGTTCCATATGGACTTGAGCCCCCTGCAGTGCTAAGAAATAATGTACAACGCTTCATGGTGCAGACGCAAATTTTCTCTGAAAAGGGATGCAGTGCTGCGTTTTAGCTGTCGGAGGGGATGATGGAGCTGACGCGCTAGGCCTGTCAACTTGTTACACGGATGGGTTGCACGCAGCGAAGCTGTGGAAAATCTGTGCCTTTTAACTTTTCTACTTAATCACGGTTGTAGCATTGCCTTTAGACTGTATGCTACATTAATTCTCTTCCTGCCTTCTGCCTTTCATCCCAAGTTTCACGGAAAAAAGTAAAGCATGCAGGTCTGGTATAAGAGCCTTATCAAACAGCTGTCATCTGACAAGCCATTTGCATTTGTTTTGGCTGAAACTGAGCAACCCAAGGGCAAGATATTTTGTTGCATTCCATCATAATGAAGAAATTACACATTGTATAAAAGGCCTAACTCAATATTTTAATTTATGTGTTTTAAATGGTATTGTTCAAGAAACAGGTCAGAGTCTCATAGAGTGCTGTTGCCCTCTGACTAAAATGTCAAATTACATATGATTAATAAACATTCTTTTTGAGTATTTATAGTTTCTTTTAAATGTGTGGGAGACTCCTGTGGGATTCTGTTTTAGTTAAGTCAGTAATTTAGGTCAGTTTATTTTGTTGGGTATTTTGATTCCCCTAACCAGTGTGGGGTTTAGCATTTGTTTTACTAATCATCAGAACAGTTTACTTATGTGAATTACAGATATTTTAGCTAAACTCGAGCACTATAATTCAGATAATTAAAGCAGTCTTGTATTTTCCCAAAAAAAAGGTTTTATGGAATTTTAAAGCAATTATAAGAATGGAAAAGAATAAATATTTTCCTAAATATACTCCAATCACTTTAGTATCATGCATGACAAGTGCTATTAACGACTATAGTCATACCAGTCTTATTTCTTAGATAATACAAGTCAACATCATTCTAGATAGTGTTTGTTACTTTAAAATAATGTGGTTAAATATTCACTTAACAAAAGTGGTGATGTCGTTATGGCAAGCATTAGATTTAAAGTAAAAGAATAAAACTTGAAACCGCTTCTCTCCTTTGTTCTGCCTTCTCTGGATGGGGATATGGAGCACTGTCCCATTCTCTATTCCAGAGTGATTCATTCCCCTGCTGCCATCCCATTGCAGCAAGACAATTGGCCCCCAAAGGCTGTTCAGCATTAAATTCATAGAAATGAATGGTTGTTACCTTTCTTTTCTGTTGATAGACTTCTTCCCATGTAACAGAGTAAAAGACATCAAGCCAAACTCTGTTTTTCAACTGTGTAGTTGACCAACTGTAATTGTCTGAGGATGGCAGTCATCTGCCAAGATTTTTGACAGAAACAATAACAAAAAGATCATGTGTGCAGTTCTGCCAGGAGACCTTTCTGAAGTCAGTAAATCTTCTTTATTTTCTGTAATAGGGTTGAATCATCTTTTTAGTAGTTGGTCATTGTTTGCATGTTAGATTTATATATTAAGCTGTGGCAGCTAATAAAAGATAGTGCTGATATAGCTTACTAGTAAGGATAACATATAATGCTTTAGTGGCTTCTATTTCCAGTTGGCCTATAAGTAATTCAATTTTTGTGAAGAAATGAGGTTTTTGAAAAGGAAATGAGGAGGAAGGGGAAGGTGAGAAAAAGAAATAATTTCTTGTTCCTATTTAGGTAAAGCCTGGTAAGAAGTTATAAGGTGAAGGAAAACTTGCTGATCCATGAGGGGACCTCATATTTTTTTTAAGTATGTCACTTTCTAAAGGTTAGATAGTTAGCCGGACTCTCATTTTCCCTTACCTACTACAATATGCGTGTCTTTAGGTTGCCTGGAAAGTCAATAGTAACCTATTTGTATTATTAAATAGTGAGTCTGATGTAGATATGGTAATGAGAAAAGTATTACATAGTACTAGCAAGTACGTTCTTTAACAGTAAAAAGTAATTTAAGTAAGAAGAAATAAGAGAGTTAAGAAGTTTCTTAAAGGATCGTTGAGTTCTGAAAAGAGAGCTCCGTGCTTGATGTCACTGACTCATCATTCTTTTTTTTTCACCCGAAATGGATGGCTTTCCATTTCCTTAATAGCCACTTAACCAGTAAAACTTGTGTTTTTTTCAAACATGATTTAGAGGTTCAGTTTAGGGTTTCAGGAACAGAATGAAGAAATAGAAAAAGAATAAAGAGAGTTCCCTGGTACAAGTGAGCAAATATGTATAGGAAAGGGAATAATTTTTAAAAGGGGCATCTGGGTCTGTGTGAAAAAGGAAAGGCTAGACCATTGGCTGTCTTGCTTGTAAACACCCTACATATAGATGCGGGTGAAAGCCCTTGGTGTAGAATTAAGGGGGAGGTGGAAGGGTAGTGTGCCATTTGGATCACCAGCCTGCCAGAGGGGCACCTTGTCTCAACAGCTGGATCCCACCCAGGCCTGCCAAGCTGGTGTAAGGGAAGCAATGGGCTGTGTTCATGAGTAAGATGTTTGCATGAAGAAAGTAGAATTAAGATTTGTCTTAAAATTTAGTGATAGGCACAAACAAATTTTAAGAAAAATGTTAATTCCAGTTTCCTCATTTTACTAATACATGTTTCTGAAAGTTTTTAAATTCTCTTACTAGAAGTGAGTTGGCAGCTATGTAAAACTCATGAGAGATACTTACTGGACTCTGAAGTGAGAAACCTCTTGTATAATGATTCTTTAATCAGAGTGTATCTATAACACAACCTTTCCCAAAGCTCTTTCTGAAGAAAAGGTTACAAAATATTTCTCGGGAAAGGGGCCCTGAAATTGTTCATTTGGGCATGCTGCATACTGGGATACCCAAAGGAGCAAGGTAAAAAACTCTGTGAAGTCACTCAGTAACAAACCTGTTGCAATAACCTCAATATTGGAGCAACAAAAACCTCTCTACTTAGATGCCTCTGAATGTCCCTTAACATTCATGCTTGAGAAAAACTAGCATCTTGTAAAGAAAATCGGAAGTTTTATAAGTTGGCAAATACAGGAAACATTTACAGAAGTTTGTGTCACCCCACCCTGCCACATATGTGCGTACACACCAGCTTTAAAATGAGTTTATGTTTCTAAAAACCACTCTGGAAGTTTAGCATCAGATAGAAAGTTCATATGTTTCTATTTTACAGTAAACAGTAGAGTATTTTCTAAGAATGTCTATAAATTGAAAGAGTTACACCAAGTCCTCCCTTAAAATGAAGTATAAGGAGGGCCGGCCCTGGTGGCACAGTGGGCTAAAGCGCAGCACTGCGAAGCAATCCCCACCAGGGAGCTGACCCAGATGGCGCTGCAGACCGCTCCTGTCCCGCCTGCTGCGCCGCTCAGCCATGTACTTCATTGATCTGCCTGTTCTGCTCCCCACTCTGTCTCTGGTGAATCCTCTCACCACCCCTGTACCTCTGGCCTTTACCCCAGTTACTTTATATATAAGTAAATAAATAAATCGTTAAAAAAATAGTAGGAACCATGAAGAATAACTTACATTTTTATTTGTTTCATTTGATTTTGCATATGCCAATAACAAAACATTGAGGTGATATTTATGAAATTGATTTTGTGTGACTTTTTCAACAAGTGGATATTTTAAGTCAGCTGCTGTCCTATTATTCAATTAGTATGTAAGATGATAATTAATGTTTGCTAATGCATATCTTGTATATCATAATACAGTTTGCTTTTCCAAAACCATCCCTAAGAAATATTACTTGTTTACCTTTCCTAAAATTGGAATTCTACATGATTAATATAACCAAAACAGATATTAGGAGGATACTAAAATTCATACTGCTTATACTCTTGGAAGGGTTTAGTTTAAGTATTTCTTTTCTGTAACCTGAGCATCTGGTATTTTCAAATTAGACACCTTCTAAATTTGACTCATACATTATGGAAATATGATGACACAGAGGTGGATAGGCTTGCTTTGATTTTATGAAATATTAATCATAGCTGTGATTAATGATTCAGCATTTCACATCTGGGTTATTCCTGTCATATTTGAAAATTATACTATTAAATACAGTATATAAACTTGGTATGGAAGGGGTCAGACTAATTCTCTAGTGCCCCTTAAAAATTAAGTGGAAACTTAACAATGTACCAGAAGCTACCAGTGATAATCTGTGATGTTGACAGTTCCTGGCATATTTTATACCCTCAAGGAGTTTTTGATGTAAATTAGTACACATCTCTTCAGGGAGTTGAAACTATAGAATCTACTTTCCAGAGAACTGTTACCACTGAGACAGAATCTCAAAAGTGGTTTTACTATTTAGGAATGAGAATAAATAGAAATGTATACTAATAAAATGGTTTTGATTGTTTAACTCCTGAATACCTTACCTCACTCCTGTTATCACTGGACCATTGCATCACACAGGTCAAGCACTGTGCTAAGTGCTTCTTATATATTTTCATACTTAAAGAAGTGTATGGAGTATTATATAACTTGATGGATTGTAACCATCAAAGTGTAAAATAGCCTTTGCTATAAAGGAATAGAATTGACCATGTTTGAAATGTGACATGTACTTTTTCATGGGTACTTTCTCACATACCACATTGTTTCCACTTATTTTTTTGTAATTTATTAATTATTATGGAACTAGATATAATATTGGAAGATAATAATAGCATACCGAAAGAAACTTTTCAGGAAAATGGGGTCTTAAAAATTGTTCTACAGGGGGCCCTCCCTGGTGGTGAAGCGGGTTAAAGCACTGCACTAAGAAGCCAAAGCCACTTAAGTATGAGTTCGATCCCTGCCCTGGAGGTGACCCATATGGAACGGCAGGCCTCTCCTGAGCCACTCGCTGCTCCCCTCAGCAGTGTACTTTTTCAGTCGGCCTGTTCTGCTCCCCTCTCTGTCTCTGGTGAATCCTCTCACCACCCCTGCATCTCTTCTGTGTGCATAAATAAATAAATCTTAAAAAAAAATTGTTCTACAGCAACTGGAAAATAATGATAAGTGTAGCAGCCCAGACTCTGACTAAAAGCTTTTACCTCTGAAGCAAGTGATTATTTTCATTTTAATTGCCTGGTTATTCCAGAGAGTTAAATGGACCCTTAGAACCAGGGGAGGGGATCTCCTCACTGCTGTTGGTGTACTCTTAGATTCCTGTTTTCTCAACTACATTTGAAAGATACAGCTCTCAATGATGCACTCTTAGAATCTCAGGACTGGAGCAGACCGGTGGAGAGACCAGGACGCCCCTCCAGCAGCAGCACACCAGAGCAGAACAGCAGGACGGCCGCCCGACGACCTCTGCAGGGTGTGCAGTGAGATGCTGTTGGCACTGCCTGTGCACTTGGCTTAAGTGAGGGAAGATTCATTCGGGGAGGGTGTTTTCCTTATTTTACCCATCCTGAACACTTGAGAAGTGTAGGAAAAGGTGCATCAACAACAGTTGGAGTCACAAACTATTATCTTAGCCTTTAGAAATGCCCTAAATTACAGGCTGTCAACTGAGGCTTACCAATTCTTGGGAGACAAATGGTAAAAATTTTTAAGAGCAGGTATATGTTCTGTATGTGGATAGGTCACATTAATTCGTGCGTTCTTTAGGGCTGACCGTTAGTTACTTTAAATCTTCAGATAGATCCACCTGCTGATACATGTGTCCGATTGTACTTTAAATATAGTTGTGCTTTACTGGATTCTAGAATTGATGTAGCTTCATTTGTCCTCTTGCTCTTGTGTTGTACTAGAGTTTCTATTCTAAACTTCAGTGTCTATTGAAGGCATCATTAAAACAGATCACTTAGTCCCACCCCAGAGGTTCCTCTTCAGAAAGCCTGGAATGGCACCTAAACATTTGTATATCTAACTAATTCAAGTCTCGGATGCTGCTGCTGCCCCAGGAGTTCTGCCTTTAGAATTATCCAACTAGTGATTGTTTCATTTTGTTTGAGGTGTTAATGTCCTCTATCAGTCTGGAGCTCAGCCTCAAATTTATAGCTTTCAAGGCTGCTTTTCTCTTTCTTTCTGCTTCTTTGTCATGTCTAAGCTACTAATTCAACTAATCTTACTGAAAAACCAAACAAAACAAAACCTCCCCAACCATAAGAAATGAAACTGTATCATTCTCACAAAGAAATCTTAACCTGTTAAGTATCATCTCAGGCTTTTCTCACCTGTATGAAACTCAAGGGCTCAACCTTTACATCCTCTTTCTTTCTTTTAATTTTCTCTTTCCCAGTGATAGCAATCTATTCCTGAAAAAAATGTTTGCAGAATGGAGATAATATAATAATAAAATGCAAGTACTGATAAATACAAAGACAGTGGCAAAGAAAACAAACTCTTGATCAGCTACATTGTCATATAGTATGGTGGTCTAATCAGAAGCCAAAGAAGTTGCCCCCGCAAACTTGCCCTAGTTAAGACTGTTTGAGGTATGGGTGGACATCCCCATCATGTTGGACAAGTTGTGTTGTCCGGTAGCCATGTGATGGCGGAAAGTGTCATGGCATGGCTAGCCAGAAAAAAATGTCATTTATATCATCACTAACTCATCTTCTGAGTATACCAGTTTATTTATTAGGTATTAGTGTGGTAGCTTATGTGTCAGTTATAAATGAAGACATATATATATTGAATGTGAATTCTCAAGCAGTCAAGTTTGCAGAATCAAACAAAAAAATTATACAGTTGCACTTTCTGCTTGTTGTAATTTTATTTCCTGGAAAATATATTTCACTGATAGCCTTTACTGCTGGATTATTGCTTTTTACAAGTTCTAACAAAATGGCAAGTTTCCCCCTTCCTGCATTACAAGTAAGTGACAGACTTTGTTAGAAAATAAATGAATAGGCAGAAATCAAATGTGAAAAATAAATATAATAGAAAACTTTTTAAAGTATAAGCTATATGATAGGACTTAACTATTATATATAAATATTAAATATTAGATGCTTAGTTCAATATTAGATGCTTAGTAGCTCCTATAAAGTTTACTGGTCATTTAAAATATATGTTGCTGTGTCAGCTATGTTTTTGTTTTGTTTGTTTGTATTTAAGGAAATATTTGGTCCAATTTGTGAAATTCTTAAGGGAAACAATTTGTAGGTTTATTTGTACCAACCTCACTGAAGTTGTGATTTTTTAATAGAGTTACTTAAAATTCAGTTAAATTACCATTCTTTAGTTAATGAGAAATATTATTTGGAAACATTTTCTTTATTC